CACTGAAGTCAATGGTATGTTTGCCATGAAGTTTGGCTAATCACAATCATCACTCTGAGGTTGCTACTGATCTGCAGATGTGTGGTGATGCTTGATGTCTGTAATCTTTTCTGATTTCCCAGCCCTCTCTAGACTTTTCTGTCCCCTGTGGGGAACTTATTAAACCCTTGTATTACAGGGACTAGAATCACAGCCACTAGTGCAAGAAAATACCTTTGAGATCATATTTCATGTGCCTTCCGGGGTCTGATATAATCTCCTGATAAGAATATACCAGACATTAACTAGATACTGCAGCTGGTCTTGTCTCTTTCTAATTTAGTGGGATTTGGGCATGCAGACTAGAGGGAAGAGAGCTTTTTTTCCAAGTGCAGAAATGCATACTTATTTGGAACAATTAAATCCTATTCAAAACCAGCATTCCATATCTGTCCCAACCTAAAATTCAGCTGGGTGTTATAATAACTCATTGTTTGATGCAAGGACAGAGCACCTGTAAAATTTAAGATTGTCATCATTTCTCAATTGAGAGATGAATGGAAAAAGTTGTATTTTATAGTCATATACAGATTGTGGCATAAAACATGTATAGCCTGTTTTAAATATAATGTTATATTAATATTATAAATATTGATTAAATATTATAAGTATTAATATACACACGAAACCTAAAAAATTTTTCGCAGTTTTAAATGTGGGAAAAGCAACCTCCAAATTTACAGGTTGGTTTTGGCTTTTTTTCTTTTAACAAACTGAAAAAAATGCTGTCTGTTTTTTGCTAACAATTTTTGAGAAAGAAAGGGCAAAAACAAGCCAACTTTGAAATACATGTCACAATTGAGGAAAATTAGAAAGCAGCAAGATCCAGAATAGCAGAAGTTTTAGGGAAAGTGATAGTGTTTTTCATTCAGGATCTCAAATGATTGAAGCCTATTTTTGGCAGATTTGGGGTTTGCCCAAAGATGTTCAGTGTATAAGTTGGATCTATGCTGATAGAAGGAAGCATCAAGCAATGAACTGCACCATGATGTCAGTCTTTAGGTGGCAGAAGCACTGTGAAAACTCTCTTGTTTCCAAAAAAACCCCAATACTCCAGGTACAAGGATAACTTCTCTGAGGTTTTACCTTCATATGGCATTCAGTGGGGTAGCTTCAGAGTAAATATATCAGTAAGGGCCATTGCCACAAGGAGCAGTTCTGTGTTCTGTACAGGGAACACAGCACTGATACCTGTGAAGCATCAATACCCACTGTTTCCCTTTCTTCCTCAGAAGATGACAGTATATGTACTTCTGACTTCCTGTAGGATCAAAAGGGAATTATATTTATTCCCTTGATCAGAGGAAAAGCAGGCTGTTCTCTATGAAAGGTTTCTCTTGCTGTGTCACTCACAGTCACTTATTGAAATGTTATGACTGAGTGGAAATCAGCTATAACTGATGTTGGCCACTATGTTACTTTGATAAAATAATAAAAATAATCAGTAAGGGCCAAAAGTCATGAAAGTTGAGGACCTCCATTTCCTCTTGGCTTGGTGGGGATTTTTTTAAAATTGCCTTATAAAGGGGAGAAAAAATGGGATTGTGCCCTAAAAATCTCTGGTATGAGGTTAGGAGATATTTCATGTTTAGGTGAAAGCAGGTCTGAGTAGCAAGTCCTCTGTTTCAGTCCCAGTTTGCAAACTGCCAGGTCCCTGCGGGCTCTGGTGGAGTCAGTCACACAGTTCCTGAAAAAACTGAATGGCTGCAGAATTGGATCTTGGGTTACTGTTTCATTCTAGAGGGGATTTGGTGGTGTCGTCAGTCCAGTAAGCTCAATTTTTATGCCATCACATTTTATTTGACACTAAGCTAAAACAGCTGCTTGCAATTAGCACACATGAAAGAAACAATAACAAAACTGCAGCCTGCCCTTCAAGCACTACACATACTCAGTGCAAAGGGTTTACCAAGTTCTGGTGATTTTCCCTCCCTCTGCTCTAACTGAAACATCAAAAACAATTGATCTCACTGAAGACCAAATGAAAAAAAAAAGTTTATCATTCCCTGAATGTTTCTGATTGGCAGCAGCGACTGGTTATTGGAAAATTTAGGCTGCTCCAGATGTGGGCAGGAACAGGACTCTCGCTGCTGCGGAGCTGATCTAAGCATGAAGTTAAAGGGAGGCAATGGCTGTTGCTGCCCTGGGACAGGATGATGTAGAGAGCTGGTTTCTTACCAGGACTGGGATCCAGGGCAGCTGGCCCACCCTCCCATTGGGAACAGTGAACAAGGAGCTTGTAAAATACACAGACCAAATGGAAATGACCCCTACTGACTGAAACCAGCTGCATGTCAGACGTCTCACTGTCTCTCTTGATTTGCTATCTCAAATAAATTGATGTGGTAGAAGGGCTACAGAAAGAAAACAAAATAATTTATTCTCCTTGAAGTTGCACCACACTAGCAAGCTTTAGTTTTTACAGCTGAAAAAAAAATGTTTATTCACAGATTAGGTTTTTCCCTCTTTTATTTTTTTCCGCTTGGAAAGTCAGCAGTTAAGAAGACGTACTGTAGCTCAGTTTCAGAAGACTTTGACAAATAGACATGGTAGATTTTGTAAGGTATTTTTCACATAAAACTTCTGGCTAATAAGAGCTTGGTTGTTTTGCATTTAAATTCAGAAAACAAATTTATAGCAGCTTTTGTTGGTGCTTTGGCTTAGACGTGCATGGTGGCTCAGCTCCATGAAAAACATCTTAGTGAGTTGTAAAGAAACATGATACAGAGAAAGATTGGACTTATTTATGCATTTTCCCCATATTTTTCCTGATACACTCCTGGGTATCACCAGTTATTCTGAGCATTGTGAGGAGCTGCTTGAAGTAACCATGGCAGCACTTGAATTAAGGAACAGTTAAGGACAACAGCTCCTCCAGTCCTCCATTTGATGCCCAGGATGGGTTACTGCTATTGTCATTAGATTGCCCTCTATTCTGACTTCAGAGGTAGAAAAGGAGGTACTTAACCTCACTGTCACATTTGATCTCTAATTTTGAGAAGATCATCAGGATGGGACACATGCCATGAAGTTATGGTTTGACAGACTTTTTTAAGGGAACTTCTTAAAAGACATCAGTCTAGACTTCATTCTTGCAAACTCACATAGTGATGTGTTTTGCAAAAATATCTGGGTTTTTTTGTTTTTTCTTTTAAGTCTTGGACAGCCAACTGATCATTAGTGAAAGAAGACACTAAATTTAGATTGATAGATCTATTAAAGTGTCTTGGTAGAATGATCTTCATGAAGTCTGAAAAAGCATGTGGATACAAAAACTTAAGGATGACACTTTGAAGTGAATGTTACTTCTTTTGCCTTCCACAGCCTTCTGGTTTTCCTCTATTTTTCTTTCTTTTTTCCTTAAGAATTTGTTTCTTTCTCACTAACAGTTGTACAAACACAATACAGTAACAGCTTTGAACATAGAAGCCTTTACCTGTGGCTTTGCAGTGTTGAAACAGCCAGATGTTATTTCAATACAAAATAGACTGCAATCCCCATCTGTAGGTTCTGAGAGTCCTGGCAGTCACTCTTTTTGTTTTAAAAACAGAACCAAAATGCAGTTCAGCCTGGGCATTGTTTCTGCTGGCATTTTTTGTCACATTGGCTTATTGGACTTTTGAAATCATCTGTGACCCACAGATAGATATTGCTATGGGGAAAGACTCACCTCTCTGCCTCCTACCATTCACTTCTCTGCTTCCTACCATTGCATTTTGTTACTGACTGTCCTATGGTGAAATCTCCTACAGATGAGTTCTCTACTATTCATTCTATCCTCTGGCTGGATATGACGTAGTTTTTGAGCTACTCAAATTGTGCTGGTTTGGCATCAAGTGATACTGTGCACCTCTTCCCTTTCTTTTTTATCTTAACATTTTCTGCTAATTACTTGCATTAGTGAGAGTAAATCAACTTACTTCTTTGAAAATATAGTGTTAAAGAGGTCTTGGGTGGCTGCCTGTAGATAATGTTCTATGTTGAGCAAGAAGCAGAACCATGGATGTGAAGAGGTTTCTATGGGTTTGGAAGAAACTCTTCTCCTAGCTGGCATCTGTGAGGCTCTGCCTTTGGCACACACTTGTAGGAGGCCAGTGATTTCAGTGGTCCAAGGGTCAGATGACACCAGCAAGGTGTTGGTATGCCAGTACACGGCTTTGGGATGACGCTGCAATTGTGCTGAAAGGGAACTTTTTTACTCTGTATTTCTGCAATCCTTTGTACACAAAGGCCCTACGCTGCAGTCCAAAATGTTTCAAGCTTTCCCACTGGCTTTTAGTTGTGTTCAGGTAAAAGTGAACAAATCCCATGTGACTAAGGAAAGTTTTGCTCTGGTCAGATTCCAGGGCCCAATCCAGTGACATGGTGTACAAAACAGAGAGAGGTTAGCATGTGATGAAAGGACAACACACACTTGAACTTTTCAGCAAAGAAGGAGGATCAGGTTAAGGCCATCCTCCTCATTATTTTCCCATCTTTATGATGAAAGAACAGATTGGGTACTAATATAACAGAATTTTAAAAACATGAAAATGTAATATATTTTCCAATGAGTCTTTTAATAATGTCTCAAGTAAAAACAAGATGGGCATTATGTTGCATCTTTATTTTAATCCGACTTCCATTTTTAAAAGTTGTGAGAATACAAGCTTGTTGAAGGTAACTCTCCTGAGCTGGCCAGAGAGAGTTATTTTTCCTCAGAAGCACAGTAGGAAATGTATAACTGTTAAATTTCAATTCAGACATTTTAATCTTTTAGTATTTGCAGTGGAAAACTAGATAAGACCCCAAGAATATGTTCTTTTTCAAACTGAAGTAAGATGCCTTTTAGCAAGGGAACAACAAGAGGAAAACTAAATAAATCTCTAAACACAAGACAGGGCACCATTTCTGCAACAGCATTTCTGATTGGTCGGATCACCATGTACGAAAGTTGAATTTTCTGCCTTGTTCTGTTCCAGAGATTGAAGGCAGCACTGACTCATCATCCTGCCGCCATGTCGAACGGGAATATGAACACCATGGGCCACATGATGGAAATGATGAGCTCGCGACAGGACCAGACACCACACCATCATATGCACTCACATCCTCATCAGCACCAGACACTGCCACCTCATCATTCATACCCACATCAGCACCAGCATCCGGCACACCATCCTCATCCTCAGCCTCATCACCAGCAGAACCATCCCCACCACCACTCCCACTCGCACCTTCACGCACACCCGGCACACCACCAGACCTCGCCGCACCCACCGCTGCACTCGGGCGGACAAGCACAGGTAGACCTTCATGTCCTGCTGCATCTCTGAGTTTTGCTCTTGGATGGAGTTAAAGTCTGATCTCAGTATTGTTTCTTCCTGCATGCACGTCTTGTTAGATACAGGCCTGTCGGGCTGCTAGCAAATGTCTGCTAATGGTGATGGGGATGCTCAAACTTTATTTAGAAAATGGAGTGAAGCAACAACTTGTTTTGCTGCCTAATTTACTCGACATTTGTAATTTCTTACTTTATAAGGAGCTCCAAGGCTTTTCAGTGCTCTGAGCTCTGCAGATTACCACATATCCTTTTATGGATGAGGCTTATTACAGAGATTGGCACATTATATATGTTGCTTAAAATGCTTGAACCTGAACTTCTCAGGCCAAGATTTAACAAGCTGTATGAGTTCTACCTGGAGAAATACATAACAAAGTCTTTATGAAATGAAATGGCACTAGTGTGTGTGACCAGGGGCAGTATTCAAGACTGGAGAAAATAGAGGTAGTTCTAATTAAGGATACACTGGCTTGGAAAAGATTAATTGCTCCAGACCCTGTGAAGAGGACAGATATCTGCACAGTATGAGAGAAAGATTAGCTGTGAGTGCAGCCAATACTTGGGGCTTGTTGTGGTAGGAGAAGGATGAGGATGAAGCCAGTCCAAGGAGAGAGATTTAAACAAAGACAGCAAATTAGACTTGTATTCATGTGACAAGTCAGTGAAGGTCTCCACAGAAGGAGATGGAGGACTCAATTTTTTTGATCACGTATATTGGCTTTAGCAATTTGGATAATTTGTTATCTGAACTGAATGTTTCTTGAACTAATGAGCTAGTGAGCACAAACTTTAGCAGAGTCATTTTTAAGAGGAATTCAGGAATTCTATCAATGTTTTAAAATGATAGGCTTCTGCATCAGGATCACACAAGAAAATAAAGCTCTGGAGGCAGTTACTGTAACATGTCAGGTCTGGAGAGCAATGTTAGGGAAGACAAACAGGCAGTACATGGAATGTGAGGACAAAGAGGAATGCCAGCCATAAGAAGTTCAATCTGTGAAGTATTGTGTTGCTTGCAAATACCTTTCAGACAAGCTCTTAGAAAACATTAAAGAAAATGAGAGTATTTGGCTGGCATCCCAGTGTCCCACAACATTAACTATTTACTAACATCTAGCTTTATTACTGCAGTCTGCAAGCACATGGGATCTCCCTAAAGTATTTGCTAATGTAAAATGAATTGTCAGCTTTAGAGAAACAGTCTAAGTAAGAGCAGCAGACTCCCCTGTGAGAGGATGTCCATAGCTTTCCTCAGTTTACTTCAGTTTTTACTTTGTGAGTTCAATTATTTTCCCATCGGTTAATGAGTTATTTTCCTTGGAGTTGTTTAAAAACTCCAATAAATAGACATCATCTCATATCAGAGAAACAAAAAGCAACCTGATTGCTGTATTGGAGATCACTGAGAGAGTAAGGAGAAAGTTGTGCTTAGCCAATTGAGGACTCCACAGATTAGATGGCAGAAGCCACTCAACTTTCACTGAGGGGTTAAGAGGATAAACATGTTAATGCAGTTGAGGGCATCAGATCCCATGGTATGGACCACTGCTGCAAAACATTCACAGCACCACTTTAAACGGATGATGAGAAAATACTGGGGAAAACAGCTACCATGGGGAAACAAACCTCACAGTTTTAAGGACAAGATCAGTGAGCCAATGGCCTTCCTCTAGACCCACTTGGACAGGGACCTTGACTTTCTTACACAGTTAAGACAGCTTAAAATTCTTGTGCTTTGTATTCCCTGCTAGCTGGCACCACAAAAGACTCTCCAGGCAGACAAGAAGAGATACAGGCACATGGGTAGGTGGACTGATTGGCAACCACACAGCTGTCAGGGTCCCTCTGTGACCAGTACTACATGGTGTCTGGAGCTGGGTCTGTGCAGTCAGATGAGCTTTGCCATGCACAGTATGTCACTGGAGGCAACAGACCCCATGGGACATCAAGGAGATCTTCACCTTGTCCATGGGTGTAAGTGTCACCAAAAGGATCAGACAGAGGGTGATGGAGTAGGAGTCCCAGGGTCAGTGGCTTCCCCAGGCAGCAGAGCTCTTGTTGTGCATCTGTTCCTCTGGTGCAAAGGCAATAGTGACTTCTGAACAGATGCACTGGAGGGGGAAAAAGAAGGGCTTGCTGAGTAATAACCACATAGCTATTACTTTCAAAGCTCATCCCTAGTCCCCATGGTAATGGCCTCTTTGGGGATCAGATTGCTCCAGCAGACGTTAATTTTATGGTGCGATTTTCTAATTATTAACCTCCTTATTCTTCTGAGCCAGATTCTTCCATTCCAAACCACCTGCCAAATGACAGCATGGTCCATGCTGCTGTAAGCTGCATACTCCCATGCCGAGACTATTGTCATTCTGCACTGGGCCCTTCTGTAATGTTAGAATTAATTTCATGCTTTTCAGCTACCATTTTGATACACAGGAGCCCCAAGGCATTATGTTTTTATAGATTTAGTGAATGGGTATTAGTATTGTGGTAAACTGCAAAGAGCAGAGGTAAATATTGGATAAAAGTAGAAATCAGCTTCTGATCTTTCTGAGAAAGAGAGATATTTTACCAAGTTCCAGCTATGCTGCCTCAACTACTACAAAAATTATAGTGTATTCTGCATTGGTCCTCTAAAGATTTTTTTATATCAAACTTGGCAGAGTGATAGCTCAAGCGGAGTTGGGGTTTGGATGCCATTTCATTCTCTTAGCCATCCTATGTTTGTCTTCATGATTAGCATCCTCTAAGAACACCAAAATTAATTTACATTTTTATATTTAGTTAATTTTCTTTCTTATGTCCTAGGTAGGGCAATGAAATTCTGCTAGAAAATTATGCTTAGACGGTTACTAAGATATATTCTAACATATTTCAGGGTTCAGAGCTATCAAGTAAGAGTCAGTTAATTATCCCACGTGACATTATTAGTGGAATAATGGCAGCCCTTATAATTAATATCTTACTGAGATGGAGAGAAGATTTTGTTGTTCTGAAAATGCACTCTGACTACCCAGAGACTGCCTGGTATATTCTGAAAACAAAATTACTCACTAGTTATTCAGGACAAAATGACCACATAAGAGGAATTTAAAAAAAAAAAAAATTGTATCATTACCTTTTTCTGCCTTTGTACCAGAATTCACCGAGAGAGTTAAGAAACAAGAATTTTTAAAGCTGAATGGAAAAGGAGCAAAAAGGGATAAGGAAATATAAATAACAGATCTCTGAAGTCTGGAAAGGTGTTATGTATTGGAAAATGAAAGGTCTTTGATGAGATGTTGACATAAAAAGGTACTTCTGAGACCTCTGCACTCAGACATGCTGTTAAAGAGGCAGCATGCCCAGCCCTGGTGGACAGGGAGCAGCTGGAATCCCTTGGCAGCAGTCTCCTGGCAGAAGGCAGGGGATGCTGGTGAGAATGGGGGATGTGCCCACTGCAGCTGCCATGGACCTGGCAATCCAACCCTCAGTGTGGACAGCATGTTGAAGATTTTATCAGCAAACATATGGAGTTCATGCAAGATGAAATTTTAAAAATCAGTCAGAAAATGTGGGGTGGCTTATTTATTTTAGAAGGCTATTCTTAAAAAAAATATTTTTCTGCTCCTGTGAGAGAGATTCCCTGACAGTGCAACATAAAGCTGAGAATAAATTCGGCTTTATGCAAAAAGTGTTATCAGATGTACAGAATAATTACACATAAAATTGCCACTGTAATTGCCACAAGTCAGCTGGGGGAGGGAGCAAACTAGATTCTAGACAGAAAAGCCACCTCAACTTCGCAAGACTCAAGACGATAGTATCATTTTAATTGAGACAGACTGAGGTGTTAGGCAAACATGTTAATTGCAGCAATTGAAATTCAGGGCTCAGTCTGACAAAGCACTGAGTGCGTCCACTCCCTGCAGTCAAAAGGAAGCACCTTGGAGGTTTGGGCTTTTGCCAGAACTAGAGGGTTAATTTTGAGTCAACAATTCCAGTTTCCAGACTGTTCCAGACTATGCAGGAGTGGCAGCAGCAATGTGAGCTGAGTGTAAGCAACAGGATCCATGGACTGGGTTCCCAGAGCCCAAGTAGAGGGAGAGAGAAGGTGTCTCCAGAGCCCCGTAGCCTGGGTGCCGTAGACAGGCAGGAAAGTGGCCCAAAAGCCTATTCCCAGGGAGTTGAACATTAAATCTGGTGCTGTTTCCTGACAGGGACGCAGGAATGTTACATCTGCCCAGGAGTCATTTGGAGTATAGTTTACATGGCACTGCTGCCACCATGCACCTTTTCTGTAATATTGTGGCCCAGTTACTCTCAGGAGCAGGATCAATACTCCCTTGTACTTGAAAAAGCATAAATACATATCTTTTTCCATAGTTTTGTAGCCGTGGACTGGATGTAGGGTTCCTATACTCTCAAAGCCAGGACTAAATTGAATAAAAACAAGAACAGCATCCACAGCACAGAGGTCAAATGGAAACTGGTTAAGAGGAATATCCCTTATCCACACAGTGCAGGCACATCAAAACATGGGTTCAAGTTCAATTCATCAAAACACAGGCTCAAGTTCAATTCATCAAAACACAGGTTCAACCTAAAGTCTTTCATTGCCCATGAGGGGCAGTGAGGTCTGGTGCCTTTGTGCAATCCCAGCCCACAGCTTCCCAGCTCCATGCAGGCGCAAAGAGCTCTGCAGCTCCTGTCTCCGGAGATGGCAAAGATTGAGGTAGAGGTGGTGAAGGTTGGAAAATATAACTGGCCTAAAATTTTAGGCAACTGGGGGACAAGGGAAAAATGAGACACACAGAAATTAGACCACTGCTTTGATTAAAACAGATCCTGAGAGAAACTGGACATTTCAGATTTGAAATAGGTGGTGGCAAAGAATGCATCTAATTGAATGCTTTTCACCTAGTGAAAGTTAGTTCTTCTGAAAGAACTAACTCAAGGGAGAAATAATACTTAGACGATCATTTAAAAAAAAAATCTCTTCTTTGACTATGGCAAGGATTTTCCAGCAGCTGCTTTCAGTGGCACCTGGTGCAGCTTTTTGACTTGAGCCTGTTGCAGACCTTGCTGGGGAGCAGGCAGAGTGTGTGTGATTCCCCTTTCCATTTCAGCATGCCCCTCTGTAACTTCCCCCATGGCACCCCCTGTAAAATGTCTCCTTGCCCTGCAGGTTTCGCCAGCGGCGCAGCAGATGCAGCCCACGCAGACGGTACAGCCACCACAGCCGACTGGAGGTCGCCGGAGGAGGGTGGTGGATGAAGACCCAGATGAGAGGAGGCGGAAATTTCTGGAAAGGAACCGAGCTGCTGCCACGCGCTGCAGACAGAAGAGGAAGGTCTGGGTGATGTCACTGGAAAAGAAAGCAGAAGAGCTCACCCAGACAAACATGCAGCTTCAGGTGCGAGCCACTGTCTGCGCCCCTGAGGACACAGAGGGGCTCTTTGTGCCTGACTGACGGTGCCTTTGGGGCTGCCCCCGCACAGCCAGCTCCTAGTGGGAGCTCAAGTACAATCAGTCTGTTAATCAAGATGTGTGTGCTTCAATTAAAGAAATACTTACATTTTGGCGGGATAAGCCAGGAAAAAGCTGTCTTGGGATTTAGAAGCCTTCACTAGATGGAGTTGTATTTATTTTTTTTCCTTGTCACTGTTTTTTGTGGAGATTTTTTTTGAAGTGCCATTAAAATATCTGTAAAAAATTTCTTCAGAGCAGGGCATGTAGTTAAACCCTCGTTCAAAGCCTGTGAGAGAGAAGAACAAATAGATCAGTCTATCAGTGAGGAAAACTGGATAGATGGAAATACCATGAATATGATAATAAAAGCCTTTCTTACAGTGCTGTCCTTCTTATGGTAGGCACAGTACTTCTGCTTCATGCTTCATGTGTGCTGCCAAGGGCAGAAAACCATTTGTAGAATGTCACTCCTCCAAAACATTCTCCCACAAAACTCAGAGGTGTGAGCAGCACCGAGACACTGGCTGCAGCTGAGCTGTAGGTGACAGCAGTCCTGTCCCTGAGCACGGCAACATGGCCTTTGCCCCCACGGGTCTGCTCCCTGGCCTCATGCAGAGAGCCCCAGTATTTCCCAATTAGACTGAAACATTGCCTTAAGTGTCTCTGGTGCTGTGAAGTTAGTTCATTTGTCAGACTGCCTTCAGAGGTTACAAAATGATGTCACTGACAAATGTTAAAATAAACCCGGCACACAAGCTCCTGAATGCCTTTTTTGCTCAGTTCATTCAAAGTTATAGAGCACGTTTTATGCTCTTGGGAAGAAGCTTTGTGGAATAGCGTGGTTTAAGCTTTGTTGCTAACCAAAGTCTCTCTTTCCTTTCTAGAACGAGGTTTCCATGCTGAAAAATGAGGTAGCACAGCTGAAACAGTTATTGTTAACACATAAAGACTGTCCGATAACAGCTATGCAGAAAGAATCACAAGGATATCTAAGTAAGTAGCTGGTATGTTTGCGCTGTCTCCACACTCCTCACAGGAAAGCAAACCTTCCAATTCTTCCCTCCAGAACCCTTTCTTGGTCATGTTATCACTTGAACCTGTCTTCTCAAACATCATCCGAGCCATCCAATCTCCTGCCCTTATTTATCCAGCCCCGCTCAAAACCAAAAAAGCCCCGGTTTGCATCCCACACAGCAGAGCTAGTCTTCCCCACCCCTCCTTTCGGCAAGGAGATGCACACGGATGGACGCTCACTCCCCTGTGGAGGATCCTGCTTGAACTCACAGCTCCAAACCTGCAAGAGTCCTCCTGGGCACGGCGCTGCCAGAACCTTAAAATAACTCTCAAAAGGAAAGTTAAAAAGGAAAACATTACAGTCCCCTCCAGCGAAAATGGTACTGTGCTCTGACAGTGGCACAGACCAGGCCTGGCGCAGGTTTTCAAGGTTTGTTAACTCTTTTTTAACTCTCATCTTTCTTTCTATTTTTTTTTTCCCAAAAACTTCTCAGCTAACAGAGACATTTAATCAATTCTTTCTAGTTGACGCATTTTGTGAGTAGTAATTTAGCAACAAATTCTCTGTTTCGTTCTAGAACAGTTCAGAAGTGCTTCAGGGCTTGCTAGATTGTGACATTGTCTTAAAATAGACTCCATTTCTGTCTCCTCTGCATCACTATGCATCTGTCTCTTTAACAGTACTCAAAGAAAAAAAACACATAATTGCATTACATGCCTATCAGCTGTTGCTTGAATTATATTTTCTGTGCTGCAGCGCACTGCACTCTAATTTTGATTCCTGCTGGAACAAATAAAGCATTTAAGCATCCCAACTGATTTTAAAGACCTTAAGATATCAGACTTTTTATCCCAACATTAGTTTCAGTTATTAAGGCCTTGGACTTTTTTCAAGACTCAACTCCTGAAGTCAGGTTGATATCAGAGAAGCTAGCTTGAAAAAAAAAAAAAAGGAAACTAAAACAATCTTAAGACAGAGGGTGTTGGCTAACTGTAATTATATTTTGAAATCCTGGGCCTTGTGCATGCTTCAGGTAATCAATATTTCCAAGAGGAACTCAGCCTAGGTTTTTTGCTCGGATGGAAAAATGAATGTGTGTTGTCTCTGTGCCCTCATTCCCTTCCCAGGTCCCGAGAGCAGTCCTCCTGCAAGCCCGGTCCCAGCTTGCTCCCAGCAGCAAGTCATCCAGCACAACACCATAACGACCTCCTCCTCCGTCAGCGACGTCGTGGGAAGCTCCACTCTCACCCAGCTTGCCAGCCACAGAACAGACATCAACCCCATCCTTTAAAAGTGGTTGATCAGAAACTGCTGGGGGAGTGTGGTACCGTATCAAAGCGTCCTCTCTGCTAAGGACATTTGCAACCGTAACTCAAGCCTGGAAGATTCCTCAGTTCTTGAAAGACTCTGGCTATTCATTTTTATAGTTATTAAAATGTCTTTTATACTTAGTTACATGAAAGGGAGTTACGCAATTAATATTCTATCAGCTTGAGAAATGCTTTGGTGCTTTCTCCATTTTTTTGGTACCAGTTACTTGTTTATAAACCTAACTGTTTCTGTACATAGTCATGTTTCCTTCTCACCAGTCTAGCCTGCAGCCTCAGAAATACAAAGTTGTGTTAAACTGCAGCTTGTTAGCCAATGTGAGGCATGAAAAGTACTAAACAGAGTCAAACATAGGTAACTAGGAGTAATTAGGCTATAAATATAGACCGAGGGCATCTGCTGACAGCATAATAAAAAAGAGTTAGCATTGTGCTATCAGCAGACCGCGTCTCACATTCAGAGCCTCTTTCAGAGCAGTTATATAGGATGTGGCTTCAGGACAAAATCAAGCCCAAATAGCATGCTCTTTTGTCTAGCCCTCCCCCTTCTCCTCTTTCCCCTACCCTGGCCTTTTTTCCTCCAGTTATTCTCACACCTTCCTTTTCCCTTCCCTTTTCATTTTCCAGCTGTTTTTTTCCTTGGCTTTTTTTTTTTTCATTCCAAGGCTTTCTTGCTTCCCTCTTTTTCTCAAAGAATGGTAATGAACAAGAAAACTTCAAGCCCACCTAAAAACTGTCGGCACGGCTGCTGCTTTCACTAGCTCTTCACCCGCAGTTGGGCTGCGCCAAGCATTTGGCTTTTGAAAACTACAAATGCTCCTGATTTAGTGTTTTTAATAAATAGGGAAAGGTGAAAACAGCAAAGCTGCAGGTGAAGCAGAATGGTGAACCAGCTGTGTTGATGCTAGCAGCCCTGTAAGCTTCTGTGATGCAGTAGAGGCATAGCGAGCAGCACCTGAGAGTCACAGCAATTTTTTGCACTGCCAGTGATTAATGCAGAAAAATCCATGTAGTATATAATAATTCGGAAAAGTTCTGTTCCCTAACCTGGTTACGTTGTTCTAGCAACGAAAGCTAAGCACCTCAGGCTTCATGGGCTATAAATGAGAAATAAATCAGTGTAATGGTTCTGACCAGTTGGAAAAATGCCATTTTTAATTCCCAGGGAAAGACCTGGTCTCTGCAGGCATCCCTTTAAACTTTCACGGACTGATCCCAAGCTGGCAGATAGTGTAGCTTCACTGACTTTAATGGCACTTAACAGCCGCTTACCACGGGTAAGGAATTGTTCTTTAGGACGCTAAATAATTTTTAGGAGGCACGCAGCGGCTAAAAAATGCTGCAAGAATGCCAAGTCCCACACTTGGGATAAAATACAGTCCTGCAGAGAGGGTCTGGAAAAGAGCCTTATGCTACAATTAAGGTTTTTGTTTGGACTCTGAGCCTGCCCCTCAGCACAACTGATTTGCATCCCCGAGTGGTCCCAGTGATTGATAGGAAAATCAGACAGAGATGATGCCAGTTAATTATGCTGCCGTGCTGTAGACTGGGACCTGATTTTGCTCTCAAATCTGTCAGAGGCAAAACCTCCTGCTGCTCACCCAGGGAGCAAGCTCCAAGCTGGTGAAAAATGTTCAAACATTTTGAGCTACATGTTCAAGAGCAAAATTCACATTAATCCCAGCAAATCCTCTAGCCCTGAACACACTTTGTTCTGAAGCAAAACTCTCTTCCTCAAAGACTGTGTCTTTGGTCTTTGGAGAAGTCATGAGTTTTTAAAGGGTGAGTCTTCTCCATGCAGGAGGGAGAGTGAAACAACTGAAGTGTGAGGAGGTTCTGTAAGGAGCAGGGCCTATCTGGAAGAGAAAGCAAATTTCTGAGCATCAGTCATTGCTGAATTAGTTCTTATCTTGGTGACTAACTTTTTATCAGTATCCTTTTCTTTAACAGCTTGCTTTCCATTTATGCAAATACATTCAAAAGAAGAAGATTTTTAATGTACAGTGTAAATCTTGACTTGATTATATAGTCTAAGAACCAAAAAAAAAATTATGAAAAAATACAAATGTAAAGGATTTTCTATTATATTTTAGACAAACATATACTTTTAAAGTGTTTTAAATACTGAAACTATAATTTTTTTTAATCTCCAGTTGTAATGGCTAAATGGTTTTGCTTCATCATGGCTCCCAAGAGAACTTTTTTCAAATATGCAGTCGAGAGAAATGTTCCAGCTGAGTATCCACTATGTGAAAAACCTAAATAAGCATTTCCCCCACATCTGAATTTCATCATTCACCATCTAAAAGGAAATGCCATTGCAGGGTTAATTTAAAAAACTTTACCTCTATATGGGTAGCACTTAAATACATTAAAAAATAAAAATCAAAGTTGTTGGTAATGTTAGAATACCCAGTTGAGCTACACTGCACTAGAATTACGGTTTAGCTTCATTTTATTCAGTCTCCTCAATTAAAATATTTAGCTGTTAAAATGAAAGCCTCTACATTAAAAAGGGGGGAAAAAAAGGAAAAAAATACAAAAACCTTGCTTAAGTTTTGTTAAATTCAGCAACTTGACAGTTTGACTGATGTGTATTATATATAGCTCAATTATTTCTTTTTTTAATGCTAACTAGGCAAGCCAACCACACATGTTGGGCTAAATGTGTAATTACAATGAAATGTCTCCTCTCTATACTATTGGCCTTTAGGTATAATCCTTGCTAGTGATGTGGAAATAAGTAAAGGATTAAAAGCTATTTGCTATTGCTTCTTGTAACTCTGCCGCAGGTTCACAGGCCAAGACAACATGCAGCATATTTATATCGGCTCTATCATTGGGAAAAGGACCAACCATACCAGGCACCTTATATTATTCATCAGATTTGCTTCCACATTAAAATGGTCTTGTTTTCCAGGGGAGTGATCCTGCAGCCTTTCCTCAAGCTGCTGGTCCAACCAGGCACTGGAGGCTGCCTGAGCAAGGGCTGCGGGAGAAGCTCCAGCCCTGTCTCCAGGATGTCCCTCTGCCATGTGGTCAGTGGCAGCAGCCTCTTCCTAAGCACCTCACTCTAAATGTGTTTCCTGGGCTCTTTCCATCAAGGAGGAATCCTACTTTTCCACAAGCTGCTTCTGGAGACTGCTCCACTTTCCTCTCGCCCGACCAGTCCAGCCTGTTGCCAGGCTCACTAGGCTCTGTGCCCTATCCCACTGCCAGTGAAGGACAACTCTGACCACTTCCATCATCCAGTCCCAAGAGCACTTGCAGGATGGTGAGCCTTGGCCAGTGCCTTGTTCAGGAGGAGGTGTTACCATACCATAGACAGCATCTCGTGGGTCTGACCTTGGAAGTAGGTTGGAAATCTCAGCCATGGAGAACTGCAATATTTTGATCAGAAAGAAATGATGCTGCAATCAGCTCTGGCACCCCCAGCGCCCCTTCCCCAAGTCAATTTATGCAAGCCATATTCATAACGCTGCCTGTGGGAGACAAGTAGTTTGTGTGCTATCGTGTTGTGTTTTATAAGGACAACAATGATGATGATGATGATTTATGGAGAATTTCATGCTGTTGGGAGTTAATTCCTGCTATGAAGCTAAATTCTGCTGCCCATATTCTGAATAGTGGAAAGTCAATGGTTCAGTGCCTCAGTGCGTGTGGATTTAGTGTTAATGACTCAGTCCTGTTAACTAACAAGCCAGCTGTAACTGTTGTTAAATGCCCAACTTTTGAGGATTCATATTTTTTTAAGCAACAATATTTAGTGTTGAAAACTAGCCTTTTAGTTTAGGCAAAATGTGCTTTTTAGCAGCTAATACCTTTTTTAAAAAAAAAGCGTATAGAGTGAATTTATGAAAATTCATGAGGACCAAAGCAATTTTAAAACAGGAATCTATTAATTTAGTATTCACATAGAATTTTATAAAGTATTTATTAATAAATGTTATTTTAACACATTCCATTTGAACAGTATTCTTGTACAGAATCTGTTTGTTGTTTTTTTTTTAAGTTACAATATTAGTTTTGCAATAAACTACTCTAGGTGTGTGTGCATCTTAATCTTTCAGGGTCTCAAGCAGAAGTCATCCATCTAAGATGGAACAGTTTGCTGAGGTCAGTTGTACAGAAATTCCTAGAATTAAATGTTTTCCTTAAAGCAGCATCTGCTTTTTTTTTTGTTTGTTTTGTTTTGGTAACAATGAAACAAATTATAAACCTTCAGTTGTTTCCTTTGTATTGCAAAATGTGCTTTCTCATTTTAGAAAGCATGAGTCAACGTATAACTGGAAAGCCTGTCTCTTTTTTTCTGCTTTTTTTTTAGGGCTGATTTTATACATCACCACAGAAGATCTAACCCCATCCTCATTTCTTGTCTAATATCACATAGTGACTTGCACTATACTGCCTTATCATTGCCTCTTCAGTCCTCTTACTAAGCAATGTTCCTTAGATTTAGATCATCGAAGCTCCATTATACATCAGAGAAAATTACTAGAGGGGGAAGAAGAGAAAAAAATTGATCTGTAGACATAAAACCTAAACTGTGCCTATAAAACAAAACCAGTTACAATTAATTAGTATCTTATTTCTACATTTCAATTATTTATATTCTTTTAAAATTGCACTTTAGCTCTTGCTCTCTTTCTTGCTCTCCCTTGTTGAATCATTAATAAATACTCTTGTAAAAGTTTTGCACCAGATACATTTATATGCTTTCACTGGTGGCATATCTACAACTTGTCTCTCACACCTGCCCAAGCAGAGAAGCTGAGACTAGCCAGTCTTCAGTGTCACTTAGACTTTACACCCTCTTCATGACAGCATATAAATGTTTTATTATGCAATGTGTGTGATGTGAGGCAGCATTTAAGCTACATTTATAATCTCTCATCCCAAGAACCAAAGTGTCCTGTATATCCTAAGGTCAGGAGATTGGCTCTGTTGTGCATTGTGAGGCACTTTGACTGTTGTCCAACTCACAGTAGCTGCAAAGCTGCAGTGGTAACAGTGGCCATACTATGTATTAGAGTTCTGAATCAATAAAATATGTTGC